GCCTAAACAAAACTGCAATAAGTAACCATCTTTGGCATAAAAAAATAATAATTTGTACAGTAGTGCTGTACTTCGAAATTTTCTCCATTAGTATTTCAAGTTCGACGAAATCTACAGAAGTAAATTTAATGTAGAACCAAAATTTTATTTCGTGTAAGCTACGTTAAAATATATTGAAAAAGTATTTTAGTATTTTAATAACAAATGAACGAAAAATTACTTTCATATGATATCCATGGGACGAAAGTTACTGATTTTGAAGAAAACTGACGCATTATTTGCAAAAATAGCAGAAGTACATTTCCGAAAACATAGAAAAATGAAGTCTTGTGGAAAATCAACACATCCAGCGACAGATGTCGGATTGACTTATTTTGAGATCGCAAGAGGCGCAACACAGCGCATTGCAATTTGATCGGAGGAAAGCGGACGTAGCGCGTCCGATTTTGGTCAAATTACCTCAAGACCCAATGTCCAGGAGAGGAGACAGAATGTTACGAGAATGCAAACATATGGTAGCGATCGCTCGAGCGAGCATAGGATGTAAATTTCTGTCGTCTCTCTACCTCAAATCCTCTGAAATATCGATTCAATCTGATTGTCCATCTTGTCGTGGCGAAGTAAAAAGAACAATGCTATACGAACGCTAAAAAAAGACAAGAGATTCAATCAAATCTGCCATTCTCGGTACACTATCCCAAAAGAGAACAGAAGGGTTTCCACCCTTAACCCTAAACGCTAATCTCGCCATTGACTTTGATCAATATGACATTTCAAAGTGCAAAGTAAATATAAACAATATATATCTGTCGGTTTCCATTCTGCTAAACGCAAGAGAGTCTTCTCAGAAGTTGTATGAAAGAGAAGAAGAGTAAAACTCGGGACAAATGTTGGTAGTACATCTGTTGTTTACCTTGCGTCTTGTACTAAATAATTCTCGTTCGTTCCTATGGCTTCACACCACTCGGAAGGAAGACGAAGTTTTCACCCCGATAAAAGTTCTCTCATACCTCTCGAAGCCACTTCTCCACTTCCCCGACATGCAGCCGGAATCGGGCGCCGCCAATCTACGTATTTTAGGTAGACCGTACTTCTCCAGAAAATGCCAAAGATGACTTCCTTGCGCATTATAGTAAATAGGAAAAGTTATTATGGCGACGCAGAACCGATATACGCGACGAGGGATAAGGGAAAATTTACAGAAACGTCGAGGTGTTCGTGGAAATTGGGAAACCGTGCAAATTTACACGTCAATGGAGAAGATTTTACGACAATGTGTATCCGTTCCATCGCGCGGATACGATATGAAGTCGGTAATACCGTAAATTCAACATTTACTCGTCGCAAAAGTGAACGTTAGAAATCGGTTTTACTACAATAACACCGCACACAGACATAGAAATGCGACGACGCGGAAGAAGAAAGTTCAGAATCTTGGCGAGACGTGCGCGTCAGTTAACCAAACGTATACAAATTGAGTAGACGTATAGGAGGGATCGCTCGCGCGACGTAGCATGCAAATTTCGTCGCTGCGCTTCAGCGTTCCGGCAAGACTTTTCAATTTGACCTTCATTCATCAAACCTTCGACTTTCGAGAGGCGAAAAGAACACATGGGCTGGCTCTTCGTGAGCATCCATCACCCATTCGGTCTAACAAGTTAGAATCGAGCGGAGAGAAGAGAAAAATCGTACCGAAGTACAGCACATCTTCCTTCACTCCCTACTTGCTCTCTCATACTTCGGACCGAGGAAGTCGATGAAACGTATACTTTATACATGGCAGCGGCGGTGCCCCTCTACTCGCAAACAGACATGAATAAATAAAACCTTCCAGTATGTGCCGCGGAGCCTCCTCGATATCGATCGCGATTATTTATAAGCGCTGTTGTTGAAGCATACTTGTCACGGATGACAAATAATCGTTTGCCCCTTTCGACCTGCCTCGTATTCGGAGTTACCTGCCGAAATCATTAACGAGCTCTGGCATTGTTATACTCGAAGAATTGGCGCGATATGCTTCGCAATATCGCTACAAAAACTTTCAAATATCGTCGGTATTTTATTCTGAATAATTTTTAGAATTTAAAAGAGTGGAATTGCATTTTCGCGCAAAAAGTGAGTTCTTTCATGTTATAGTTCTCGCTGATGAGACATATACAGCGAAAGGTTACGATAACAATGCTAGCCACGGAACAATGACGATTCCGCACGGATATACCGCATAGACCGCACGTGCTCTCGAGGACTCGGATTTTACAGCGCGAAGTATGAGCTAGAAAAAAGCTTGTCTCACGAAGCACCCGCCAATTTCTGCGGCGTGCTTTATCAACACGAAACAGATATACTCCATTATGTACAGCGCGCATGCAAAACCATCGGTATGTAGCCAAGTCACAAAAATACAGCTATTCGGACACATAAAGTGTGTGCGGACGCCGCCGGAGCGGAAAAACAACTTCGATCGATGAAACCAATGCGGAATCGACCGATGCTGTCGTCCTACCCGTACACAAAATCCGTACGCGCACTGAATGGGTTGCAAAAACTTGTCCTTATTCACGGATGGTTTTTTTTATTTCTTTAATTTCTCGTACTACTATATACGATTGTCACTGTAAAAGCGAACATAGTATTTTTATCAATCATACATGAAAAAAGTTGTGTTAATCCTAGAATCCTAAACATCAAAAAGTTATGTAAACTCTAAATACGAGTAAATTTTACCCAGCGCATCTTCATTTGCTCGTAACTTCCGGAAAAATAATCGAAGCTCAATTCTCTTTTTCAATCAATACAGAAAACATCGAGGAATATGAATTTATTGATGTTTTTTGCAAATTTAATAAATTTGAGAAAAGTTATAATGAAAAAAACAAAAATATTTTTAAGAGATAAAATCATGTCATGTTTAAAAGATTGGTCTGTGTAAATTTTAGACATGTTTCCAGGGTTCTAGGGTTAACATGAAGTTTAGTTGTAATGAACAAACCAACATGTTTTGATTGAAAGAAACGAGATTTCTGGTTGTTATGACTAAATTTGAATGATATAAGAGTCATAAATTCTATCTTCAACCAAAACGCGTTAGTTCGTTTATTAAAACCAAAGTTCACGTTAATACAATCAACTTTTTTTCCGCGTAAATTACAAATGATTGAACGAGCATATAACGGCGCCTGACGAGCCGTCTGTTATCTACAGACTCTAATTCAAAATTTTAATTATTCTGCAGCAATGATGTCAAGTTGACATTTGCCAATTTTGGATGTTGAACACCTATACAATTAATTTTCAAATTTATTTAAATAAAATATAAAGTTTCTCGATTTTAATAGTAAGTCCCTTTACTGTACAGAAAATGAACAGTAAGAATATCGATTAATGGAAAGATCGCGCGCAAAATTCTGACGTCTGATAGAGATAATGGAGGAACGTTTCAGACTACTCACGTCGTAAAATAAAGCAGTCTGGAGTCTGGATGTCGGGCGCGGATGTTTTATATAAAACACCTTTCTGTCTCTGAGTGACTATACTACGTGACGAGTACGGCGCACGTTGGCAGGATATAAAAGAGAGATTAACATTTAACGACTTTGTCAGCCCACTGCCATCTATATAACGGGTTGCGCACGGCAATGTTGTCATGCCGTGAGCTGTGGGATTCAGTGCAACGGATTGTAATTCATACGATCGTAAATGTTTTTTATTACGCCGATATTCGGGGTGAAGAATAATTGCGCGACGGAAAGAAGTTGAACACGTTCTCACCAACCGTGTAACGAGACGATGAACAGATGCCTAACTAATAATTTTATATACAGAATAGCGCTTAAAACATGCTAAATAGAGATTTTAGAAATTATTTATTTTTAGAATGATTTAGAATAATTTATTTAAGAAAAAAACATTTATTCCTTTGCCGCAAAACTTGAAACTGGTAATTCTATAAATCCCAAACAAACCACTAAAATCAATTTCTAAAATCACCGTTTGATCGCTTATCTGATTCTCAACACTTTACCGTAATTAAAGGCATCAAATATCTAATAAAAATAATGGCTTTTGTAGAAGAGCACTGAAGTATGCTTCGCATTATATATAAAGAGATATATTCCACTATGAAAACATAATATAATAATTACTTTTTCCATTAAATTGCTTTTGTTTGTAAAATCATAACGCGAAAATTAGAAGATTTAGAACGTTGCTAACAACCATTATTGTGCCGGTAATAAACAGAGATAAATACGTGGCGGGCACCGGATCGTCGCGAAATCTCGGCACTGAATAGCGTAGTTATTCACACATAAATTAGGCGCGTGAAATGAATACCAACGGCACGTTTAATTAAATTTGTGCCGTGATATATGCGCCAGTTATTACAAATCGTCCCTCTACAAGGGGAATGCATCCCGAATAAAATCATGTACTTTACACATTCTCCCTCCGTTGTTGCTTTTATAACAAAAAAATTAAAAAGAAAAGTCACGCAATTCTACTATCAAGCGCTTTGTGTACGCCCACGAAATTCCTCCTCCGGAATGTTTAAGTAAACGTTATAATTCAATATATCAGTAGTCGTAACGAACTCCTTCCTTAAAGGAAGGAAAACAGCTCATTACTTTCATGCTTTAACCTAATAACGGACTTTGCTCTCATTATAATTAGGCGGACTCAAAGAAGGAACTACTCTTTTCTCACGGGGTTATATATGCAGAGGGAAAATAAGTTTCTCGATAGACCGAAGTCGTACCGGCGATCCTCGGGGAGAGCAAAAAGTGCTAACGACCTATGCTTCGAAAGTACCAAGTTTTAACTTTATTTCGGAGACGAGCTATATATCGAAGATTGTCGATACGTAATATTTCATCATCAAACCGATCAATCCGCCTATTACGGTGGATTTTGCTCGAACGGTTTGAAGAATAACATCAAAATGAGCTCAATGTTAATTTCAAGAATGCAAAATTAAAAAAAAATGTCATGAAAATATCACTCACCACCCAGGTCCGTAAAGAAGATCTCGCGCAGCGCCAAAAACTCTTCCTCGGGAGACATGTTGACTTTACCAAAACAATCATTCTCGGGCCAGATTTCTCTAAACAAATTCAAATAAAACAATGTTTAAAAATTAATAGATAAAAGCTCATTCTATAACATGATATAAATATCACTCACTAAAACAACAAATTACATCGAAATTTATGTTATTTTAATTTCCATGTCTAAGAGTCCATGTTTGAAAAGTCTGTTATATTTACTACAGTCTTTTCTCTCAAAGATTCTTTCGAGCTATAATAAACCTCTTGAGGTGCAATATTAGCCAGATAGTGCGTCATAGTTATATAACAACTATCTAATAATATAAATCGCATAAAGAATTCCCTTGTGCATTATTAAAAATATCAAAGTAATTAAATAAGCGGTCGTTCATTCACGAAACATACGAATGGAAAAGATTCGTTCGAATGCGATGCAGATAGATAAAGAGAGAGAGAGAGAGAGAGAGAGAGAGAGAGAGAGAGAGAGAGAGAGAGAGAGAGAGAGAGAGAGAGAGAGAGAGAGAGAGAGAGAGAGAGAGAGAGAGAGAGAGAGAGAGAGAGAGAGAGAGAGAGAGAGAGAGAGAGAGAGAGAGAGAGAGAGAGAGAGAGAGAGAGAGAGAGAGAGAGAGAGAGAGAGAGAGAGAGAGAGAGAGAGAGAGAGAGAGAGAGAGAGAGAGAGAGAGAGAGAGAGAGAGAGAGAGAGAGAGAGAGAGAGAGAGAGAGAGAGAGAGAGAGAGAGAGAGAGAGAGAGAGAGAGAGAGAGAGAGAGAGAGAGAGAGAGAGAGAGAGAGAGAGAGAGAGAGAGAGAGAGAGAGAGAGAGAGAGAGAGAGAGAGAGAGAGAGAGAGAGAGAGAGAGAGAGAGAGAGAGAGAGAGAGAGAGAGAGAGAGAGAGAGAGAGAGAGAGAGAGAGGAGGGTATGACGAGAAGTCCGAGTGGCAAACTCAATGGATCTCGTAGAAGGCTCCTTTGAGCACGAGAGCTTCACCACGATCTACACCAACATCGGACTCCTTGCGTCAAGTGCTCACATACCCAACCCTCATTCTTCGTCGCACCTCACCTTTGCTTGCCTGCCGTTGATGTCGACGTACATGCATCTCCTTTACAGAGTACCTGTATCTTAAAGTCACGAGGTGGAAAGTGTCACCGTCAAAGAAATGGGAAACCGGTCGAAAGGATAGGAAAGAGATGGCAGAAAAAAGGAGAAAAATATTGGTAATCGTAATAATAACGTCGATCTACTTGAATTTCGTCGAGCTTATTGAATTATGCTTCAATGACTGAGTATTGTTTTTGCAAAACTCGATTTGTTTCTTCTTACAAAATTTGCGACCTGTCTTATTTTTCAACGCTAAATTCCAAGCGTTTTCAACTTAGAAATTGATTCATTTGACGTTATTATTAAATAGAAAGAAAAAATGCTCATCTAACATGTCAAATCCGTACACGAAAGGTAGCTTACTAGGTCTAGAATATCCCCTATATACCTTTATGAGGATTAGGAAAAAAAGAAAAGAGATGGTCGTGCGCAAACGTGACTGGAGAACATAAGTAAGGTCACGTCTTCTGAAACGCGTCCAAAAAGGGTGCAGCTAATGGTGGAAGATTTTAATGGTGGAACCTTATATTACATAGCGAAATAGCTTCCGAATATTTTTTCATTTGCTATAAATTTTACCTAAAAAAAAATACTAGACGTAATTTTTCCTAAAATATTATCACAGGTAGAGACTTTCTAAAAAATATTTTCATAAGCTTGGTGAGTTATAATTAACGTGCGACTGTTCCACTTTTAAATATATAAATTCATAGACACGCACTAGCTCTCGTATTTTTTAAATTTTCTGTCATGTCTTTTATACAAAATGAAATCTTAATTTAAGGTTATCATAAATTTTAATGTAAAAAACTCTAATATTGCAAGCAATTAATCGTAACATACGTATAATAATCAAAGATGAATGAATAAAAAAATCGTGAGAAAATATTTAAAAAAATAATAAATAAAAATTGTAACATTAAGAAGAAAAGATTTTTTCATCGATACTTATCGAAATGATGAAATTGTAGCCAGTAGTTATAGAAAAAATAATAACGAAGAGAATCTTTGCTACTATGTTCTGTAGCCGCGCAACACACAATTGATAATGAAAATTGTCTCTACTTTGCTCCCTCCTAACAGCGACGGCGTCGAATTAAAATCCGAGAATTGGATTTGGTCACTTGACATGAAATCGCACTTAGTTGCGATTCTACTATATAAAAGCAACGGTATGGCTGGATCTAACAGTAACACGTAGGTACAATGTGTTTCATTTTATGCGTACGTACGTGACACACACCCATACATTTTACAATATACGATCCCGGCTGGAATGAAGTCCGGACATGATCCGTCCCGTTTACACGCGGAACAGAGACGTAATCCATACAGTATCCGCAGGGTGAGTCGCAACCAGCGTATAAAACGTTAAGAGCAGATTTCTCACTTAGATTTGGAAAATCGCCACAGAAGAGAATGTCGAAGAGAAAATCGTGATTCAAAAATAAATTTAACTGAGTCTAATAACCAAGTTTCAATTTCAAATTTTGTTCAAGTTCATTTGACAAATTAAACAAAAGTCAACTTTTTATACGAAGAAAGAAGAGAATAAAGCGCCCTTTTCTTTGATTTTGATAAACGAATATTACTTTATTATAAATAAAAATTTTTTATCCATTAGCGAAGTTTAATCCGCGGAAAAAAAATCTCATTTATCTGTAGTCTGTAACCCTACTTTAAGAAGAAAAAAAATACTAGCTCTAATGATTTACGTACTAGCCGCGATTCAGGCAATATAGCGCGTTCTAGAATCGCTGGTCAGGGACGTCTGGTCCACTTTCGAAAGCTTTCCGAAATTCTCCCCACTGGAGATGAATCCAATAAGCAGACGCAAGGGAGAGAACGCCAGAAGAAGAGGAAGGGCGCTGTCCCCGGAGCGGAAGAAGTGGCTCGTACGGCGCTGCTGCTGGCTGCTGGCTGCCTGAATAGAAATTCAGCAGCATACAATCCCCATTATCCCTCGATTTGAAGTCCCGCGACAATGGAATCTCTCAGACGCGCCGTGTCCCCGTTCGTCTCCCCGCGACTCAACGTTCCGACATACAAGCCGATACCGCTTTGCCAGACATGAAATGGATAATTTCGACACGTCCATTTTCGTGTTTGGCAAAGGAGAATTAAAATGATGAGCCCTTCGGAACCGGATATTAAGATGTCAGAGGAAAGGATTTTTTGAAACGTAACTCCAAATTTGTTACAAATTCCTTTTTCTTTAGCATTCTAACTGCACGCACAAATTAACATGACTGTCCTCAGAGTAATTTACGTACTTTCAACATCTCCAAATAAAATTCAATATAATAACATCCAATAGCGAATATTTTTTGCTATAGCGCCAAAGTTCAAATATATAACTAATAAATTTAGCTATATATTTGAATAGCTATATTTTAGCTTCTGCGGCCAATTCTTTTTTACGAAAGGTAAATAGAGAGGAAATTAAAACTAAAGATTTCCCTTTGCAAACAAGAAAATCATTATTGCATTACGTTTGTAATGAAGACAGAGGGGAGAAAATAATAAACCGATGTGGTTTCTTCGCACAATTATCCTATTTCTCTAAGTTATGGAATCCTTAAGTTTAAGTCACCGTACCGATAAGAGGGTCGCAGACGGCGCGAGTGGAAAATTAGGGAGCTAAAACCGGTAGCCAGACGGTGGAGTATTTGCTAGGCAAATGAAACACGATTACTAGAAGCACTACCCGTAGCTGCGAAACGAAGACGCGTACGTGAAGAGAACAGGCGTATAACATTGTTTACCTAACGTACCTACGTATTACCGTAGATGTCTTATTAATAATATTGTCTGCACCCAAGCGTAGTCTCTATGTATGGGGTAGTCAACTGTCTGCTACTTTTATCCCACTGTATGCACAAGGTCGGCATGGTCCTGCCTGCAGACTTCCATTGTGTACCAGCCATAGTAAACATTAGCCCATAAAATGGACGGTGGAATATTGCGTACAATCTCGCAAAGTAGTTCACAGCGATGATACCGCGTAAAGAAAAATCGCGGAAGGTACTATAATTTCATAGCTTCGCGATAGAAGGAGACGGTCGCGATAAAACGGATTTTTATCTCCGGCTGCGCGCGCAGTTGTATCACGGCACTTCAATTTAACAGAACTAATAAAGTTAACTTATTAGAGCGGTATGTATCCTGTCCTCGGGTGAAATCGCGTCCTGGGGCACTAACGTTTTTAAATGGACTCATCGAGCTCGGTAAGACGGTCATTTTAAAGTTATAAAGGGTCCGCGGAATGGTCGCAATTACTACAAAATATCACGAGTATATGTGTACGTAAAACGAGTAACTTTTAACGTTATTCCACGTTTCGTACGACGTTCGCGACTCATCTTGGGTAAGAAAAATAACTCGAGATGCTCATAAACTGTGTACACGTCCGTGTTTAGCACAAAGGCGAAAAGCTGCAAGAAGAGCGTACATAGAGGAATCTATTTACACGTCGACGAGTTTATCAGCAAGGTATATCGAATCCCACGAAAGCATCGAGGCGGCGATTAAGCCTTAGAACCAGAAGGGTTGGCGAGGTGGAACGCAGAAACAAGTTGACGGAGGGACACGACTCATAGGCACATTTAGAGGTGGAACACTTCAAAGAGTTGGTTGGGTACCCGTTCACCTCGGTGAACCGGTGTATACCGACGCGTTGCAAGAGCGGCAGATCCCTTTCAGATTTAATGTAATGTAAATATCTGCGGCAGTGCAAACGCCTGGCTTTTCGCCGGTTAATTGGCCGTGTGACTGGTCGATGCACAAAGCCGAAAAAATTTCGAGCGGATCAATAAGGGAGTATAGTAATTAATGAGTGTAACCGACAATATAAGATAATTTCTGATAAGAAAACTACACAATAATAATAATAATAATAATAATAGTGTATCTCTCTCTCTCTCTCTCTCTCTCTCTCTCTCTCTCTCTCTCTCTCTCTCTCTCTCTTTCACCAGTGTCATCTCTCTTCTAAAATATTTTAAATATCATTTTCAGTTTTTTTCTTTTTCAGTAAAGAAGACGATCAGATTACATGTAATCTATGCAATATATCATGTGTCCATCAAACTTTCTCTGTAACTTTATTGTGTGATTAAAAACTGTTTGCATTCACGTCGTTATCCCGCGAATTTATGTATACTCCGTATACTTCCTGCGTTTCGGCACAAACGATTAAAAATTCATCGGATTTTACGCGAATAAATCCTGCTTTCTTCCTGGCTTTCTAACCCTACTACAATGAACGCCTTTGTTTGCTCAAACAAAGCCGTGCAACCCCCATAATTAACGTCCGACTAAGCTTGAGATACTTATCTGTTATTGTCTATGAGCACACACTTCACCATAAAAATGTGTAGCAAAAGAATAAAGGATTTTTATATTAATTATATTGAAAAATAAAGAAAATGAAAAATTAAACGTAGCACGTAAAAACGCCGATTATTTTATGAAAAACTCGTGAAGAAAATATTCTATCGTGGAAAAGATAATGTATGTAACTTTCAAGAAGATTTATATATTATTTTTTTGTGTGCGTGCGCGCTTATTAGTATGTTAAATTATAATGCTACAAACAAGAGATTGTGCATAATTTACATCAAAATAAATAAATTACCTTGTATACTTCCTACAAACAAAGACTTTGGTAGTGAAAAAATCTCTTGTCTATCGCATTATATGACAACGACGCAGGTTCAGGCGTAAAACTAATTTTCAAAATAAACACCGTATTCTCTCTCTCGTGCATAACAAGTTACTTTTCCGGAATCATTTCTCAAAATAAACAAGTCTTTCTTACCTTGCTGAGCGTAGAAGACCAACCGCCTGCTCCAAGTTTTTCTGCCGCATTAATTTCTGAGTTTTTTTCATGGCGTCCGCTCTAAGAGTGGAAATAAAAGTTAAATGAAACGCTTGAAATATGAAGTGCGATATGTCGAATGTTACAAAAACATTCGTAGAAAATATAAATCTTTCATGTTCATCTGATTATCACGATATTAGTACGTACTTTTGATCATCTATGGCCGTTTCTAAGGTTGCATCAAAAGGCATCACTTCCGGTATGGTGTCACCTCGCATTACAGCAGTTAGTTCGGGAGCAATCATGTCCCAACGTTCTTCCAAAGTAGGAGTTGGAATTGTATCCTTTTGAACAGGCTCTGCTTAATAAAATTAAACAATTTGATGCATGTAAGAAAGTATCGAATTCAATTCCATATCACCACGTGTCTTGAAAACGCAATATAAATCTACGTAAAAGAGTAAATCTTACTTTTTCGTTTCTTGGCCTTGTGCTTTTTGGATTTCACTTTTTGAATTACTAAATGACGTTGGTCCTTCTCGCAGAAATGCTCCAGCATTTTCAGAAATATGTGAACAGTAGTCACGAGATCCACTAAGTAACAGCTAAAAGATAAATATGCCTTAACTATGTCGTTACGTTGTTCCATACTATACAATCGCGAGAATGTCGGTGAACTTGAACCCCGCCTCCCTTGTAACAAGAAGTTAATTCAATCTCGCTGCACGTGCATTAATTTGTCAATTTAGTTCCGTTGGCGCTACCACCGCCGACCAAAGTTTAACGGAGCCGTCGTACTGTTTTCGTCAGCGTCGCCGAAACGTCAAAGTAGCAACGGCATTGCGGTGCGTCGCGCCGCGCCGCGCCGCCCTTACATTTCCGTCGTGGAAATCCGCGCAAAACCCGTCAAACTCGTGGCAAGTTGAACGCCCACCGCCTTTTCCCATTTCGCCGGCCGGAAGGTCGATAAAAGTTGTTTATTCCGCCGAGGAACGTAGAAGGGAGAAGAAACCGGGCGGGTTTGCGCTAGCGAGACCGAAGAAGAGAAATAGTCGAGAAGGAACGCGTCGGAGGGAGCCGGAGTGGCTTCCTGGCTGGTCGAACCGATTGATCCGAAAGTGAATCAATCTGTCTGCGGTAGATAAAACTTTCGGTAAAGAGTTCTCCCTCTTCACGACGCGGATTCACCCAGTATAGATGATTGTTCGGTGTACGACGAATAGGTCGCATAACTTTTCGCGATAACGCATTATGTTACTACTGCCCACTAAAAATTCGCGGCTTATCCCGCCGAATCGAAGAAATAATTATCGTCGAAAAAAAGAACATATTATTTACGTTTTCTAGTGTAATTAAATCGGTTTTCCGTCTCAGTGTTTCAATGTCGGAGTTTTGATTGCTATTGCGAACTTTAATTGCCGTAATTCGTAATGAAATTTCGTGTGTTGGAATTTGAGTAAACGTGTTTTGCGCGAAACGGTAATATTAATAACGAATGGAATACTAAGTCTGAGCTTGTCAGCTTTTCGTTTGCCAATATTATTGCATTACTTAAATAGAAAACTAATAAGTAAACCTACTCAAAAGGTACACTTCAATTTCTTTCTAATTTGGCACAAATGTAAATACATAAATGTAAAAGTACAAAAAGGTACAAATATTTAGGTCATATTTTTTCATTTTGACATTTTGAAATAAAATTGAATACAAGATACAGTTAAATAATTTTAACAAAAATCGACATAGCTAAGATATTAACCATTTTAAATTTCTTTAGCCAAGATTTCAACTGAAATATTTTAAATCTGTGCTAAATTAGTCAAAAATGGTTCGAATATCGGCAAAACCAAAAAATTCAGCAAATTTTAATTAAAATTTTAACACAATGAGCATAGCTGACACACGAACCATTCTAAATTTCTTTAGCCAAGATTCCAACTAAAATATTTCAAATCTGTGTTAAATTAGTCAAAAATGGTTCGAATCTCGGTCAAACCGAGAAATTATTTGTATAAATAATTTTGCTTAACTTTTCACTTGTTTTGTTTAAACATTTTATTATTTATACAACTTGTTTTGTTTAAACATTTTATTATTTATATAAATAATTTTACACATTTGACTTCATATTCATAATCAGCAAACCAAAAACACCTATATCTTGAATTCAATTTTATTTCTTATGCATTTTTGTTGCACTTGTTGATGATAGGAGTGAGAATATTAAAAAGCTATAAAATGTCCGTGAAACTCAAAGTGAGCCAAAATGAAAAAATATTTTTTGTACTTCTATATTTGTGCCAAATTAGAAACAAATCGGAGTATAACTTTTGAGTAGGTTTACTTGTAAGCCACATAACTTGATCGCTTAAATTTTGTTAGTTTTATTTGGAAATTTTTATAGTTGCCTAAAATATTTAGGGAAAGGATCGGAATGATCAAGCTACGTGACTTATCTTGCACAGTAACAATTATAATTAATAATTATAATATAATTATAATGAATAATTATAATTATAATTAATTCTGTTTACTCACCGAGACATCTTATTCTCATCAAAATATAAAAATTGACTGAATATCGTTTCGCGATATTCCGGGACATAAAAAATGTTGCTTTTAATTATTTTGCTGGACTCTCTAACACTGTGATCTGTACTCTTATCCATCGCCATTAAAGTGTTAAGAAGTTCCTAGAACACCACATATATTTTCGTCAAGTATCTCTGCCCGATATCAGTATCTAAAACTTATTACTATATAGATTCCTACCTGATACGCTTTCAATGCTATATGCAATCTATGAGACCAAACCGGTATTCTTTTCTTGTCAGTAAGAATCATCTCATAATATTGATCCATTTGTCTTTGTACTAAATGAAATATTTCCGTAGATATAGTTTCACTGTCGAGAACCCACAAAACAATACAAAATTAAATTAATAATGCATTCCAATTTATAATTTACGATATAAAATAAACCGAAATGGAACAACTAAAATCATTAAAATTTGACTGTAAACATATACAATAATACGATATTAAACAAAAGATATATAAATATTCAGAGCGAACCATCTAACATAATTTTGCAAAATTTGTAATAATTTTAAATACAAGCGAAACAAAATATCTATTATATATCGAAAAATAATGCACCGATTAAATAATCTTAATATAAATGTTTTTCAAAAGCTCACAATGATCATCTAACCATTTTTATTCGCACTAAGTTTTAAAAATTATTTTATATAAAATCGGATGGTTCGTTTAGTATACGCAGGCGCTGCAAAATATTTTCCCTAGACGACAGCTAAAAGAAAGCGGCGATGCGTAAAACGAGTTCGGAAACTGTCTCGCTTTCTGCCTCTTTAGACGGGATATGCGCGCGCAGCGACTATGTGGACTTTGCTATGAGAGAACCGAAGTGCGAAAATTTACCTCACATATTTTACTTGGAACTTGTAATGGCGATTGAACTCCATGAAGAAACGCAAGGCCCACAAATAAGAAACCGTTTCAGATACTTCACCATGAATGCCATTTATGATGCAAGATCTGCCGAATTTCATCACGGGATTGTAAGCTCCACTTAAAAACTCTACGCAAAACTCTTTGAGGAAGAGTTGCACGCTAAGGGCAGACGTACGTTCTTCTTTAGTATTTTGCAAGCCTAATTTGTCTTTGCGTCGCTTTAGTCTCTTCTGTTATAAAAGAAAACATATTTTCTATTTATTTATCTATTGATTTGTTGGTATACCTTGATGATACAAAGTTGGAGATATTTTTCGCGTTTTTACATACATTATTCGACAATGAAAACAGAAAAGAAAGAAAACTCCGCGATAAAAGAATTTCCTGTATTTATGTTTGCAAACTTCACCTTATTGTGACTGAATTCCAAAGCTTCAATCTTCTGATATGGTTTGTGACATATCATTTGATTTTCTCCGATGGATTTCATATTTTGCACAACATAAGTACCGCCAAATCGTGAGTGTCTATTCAATGAAAAAAAGAAACAATTTAAAGTATTACAATTAATTTCAAGGCAAAGGCATTTATGCGCAAAATGCGAACGCAAAATGACTGGTTTTATATAAAGTATCGGGAGAATAATATATAATTCGCGCGCGCGAGCCAAACATACTATAAACATCTTGTCATAAAATTTCGTATTTCCTTTCTGTATGCGCACAAATTGAAAAGCGAGGGAAACGTACTTTCTCGCTACTAAAAAAAGAAAATGATCATTCAAATCCAATTTCATCCATGACTCCCGAAGATCCAATCAATGGGATAGAAGGCAGCTGTCACCGACAGATAGTTTCCTAAATGACGAAGACGCGTACCTTATCCCTACCCCTTCTTTCTCTTTTCCGCGAGAAACTCGACTCCATCATCTCCCACCAAATATTTTTAAACAGACGGTTAACTTTTCAAAGTATGTCAAAGTTCGATCGTCATGTCGCGAATAAAGTTAAAATGCAAATGATAATTTATAAAATTTATGTCCGTCGATCTTTTATCTTCGCGATATATATCCGGATATAATATATTTAAATTTTCCAAAGTAGCAATATTAATTTAAATAAATCAGCGTATAAAATAATTTCAATAAACGCATATATATACAATGGAATATAACGAAAATGATGAAAATAATACGATAAATACGGAATAATTTGAAAACGCAACGCAAGGATTACGATGCGAGAATTGGATATGCAGTGCGACCCAGTCCAATTTTGTTACCATGTTTACCGCTGCTATCAAAAAGAGATCTGCTCGCGACATAGCTACGATCTGCTTTATCGTTTTCCGATCAAATTATCTTTCTATCGATCGATAGAAAACACGAAGAGACGGAGGATCTGCTCCTTTCACCGCGCACTTCCAGTTCCTTTCAAGTCATAAAAAGCCTTTCGCGCAAAGACGCAGCCGCGCGCACCCGGGGCTTCGAACGCGCTCGTTACAAGAATACGGCTCGCTTCCTTCCAACAAGTGGATAAAAGCTTCTATTCATGCTTCGAGCGATCCTGTCTTAAAAACTAGGTCATATTCATTACACGCGTATCGCATCGCGAGCAAGCCGCGAAACCCCCGAAGGCATCCGTCAAGTAGCAATCAACGCCTTTTAGCCATCCCATTTTTACGATCCCGGGCTTTTAACTATAGCCTCTCATTAGAGTAGTAATTATGCGGTAGCCACCTTGGTGAGAGTGCATTCTATCGTATTTCGCGATAAAAACGTAAGGATATACGGTTAACGTATGAATAAAACCGAATGAAGTATAGACGTCACTATATGCGGCGTTTGCCGTGTCCTGAATACTGAATAAGTCCATCGATTAAACACGTGCCCAAAGAGCCGTTTTAATCGTTGAATTCGAGCATTCTTTCAAATATTCGAATAAAATGTATTTTTGTACAATTCGTGTAAATTCTATTCATTTTTAACGATTGCCTTCTATATTTATAACTATCGTTGAATTCATTAAAATGACATTGTTTTAAATTCGATAGAAATTGATTTGTGTAAAAACAATATACATATATATACATATATATATATATATATATATATATATATATAATATATATATACATATATACATACATACATACACACATACATATATATATACATATATATATATATATATATATATATATATATATATATATATATATATATAATGTTTTAGTTTGAGCTCAGCGTGATAACATAATGCGTTATTATTAATTAAAATAAATTTGTTTAATATATTATATAGATTCACCTAGATCCGATATATTTTTTCACCTTGTTCACCTTCTCCTGCAGCTCTTTTTGTCGTAGAGCTACAAGATTAGCTTCATCTTTCTCTTTTTCAGCAGTGTTACGTTGTAACCCAGATACAGCTAACTGACTTGCATTTTGTTCACGCAGCATCAGAGATACAATCTAACCAAATATGAAAGTACTATCATTATTTAATAAGTTATTTCAAATAAATTTTTACCAAAATTGTATTCAAATAATAATAATTGTATAAAAATAATAAAAGAATTTAGAAAAATATTATATGAATGTTTTGTACTTGTATACCTCTAAAATCTGCATGTGATATTGCTGTTCTTTTTTGTTGCTGACAATAAACAACAATATATCCACAATACCTGAAGTGTGATATGCAAACAATATCTACAAAAAGATATTCTAATTAAGCCTATGTCAACTTAAGATAATGTCTAATGTTTTATGTATAAAAAAATGTAAAATTTATTTTAACATAGTAATTTACCTCATCATGAACAGTAGCATCGTTACCAGTTCTCTTATCATTATCATTTGCTGGCACTTGTAATACATTTTTAATAAAAAGAAGTATCCTCTCAATTGTCATCTCATTCTCCTCATCTCTTTCTGTAGTATCCTGTAAAATAAAAAATTCTTTATGGATAACTGTCCATACTGAGCCTATATTAGAAGTTTATCTCACTCACAATACTAAGTAGATTTCCTAAACGACCAGCTACTGCCAACCATACGCTATCATCAGTTAACGCTGCTTTATATTCATGTAAGTATGATATAATTTGTTGATAGAAATTACGCATTGTTTTCTCAGTTGGTACCTGTTCATTGTAGATTACAAACGCAGGGCTTGTTAGATTAATAAGTAATCTAAAAGGGTATAAGATTATATAAATCAGCTTATACTATTATTGTATACAGATTCTCCATTGCATGCACACAATTTAAATTGCATGCAGATCAATATATATACCTTAATAACACATCCCAAAGTTCAATGTTACTAACATGATGTATAAGAATCTTTACAAGATCAGTTTGAAGTAATTTTGTTTGACCAAGAAAGCGCCTAATAGTGTGAGTATCGTCATCTCTCTTAAGATATCGGATCAGATCTTTTATAACATCTATTAACAAATTAATTACACTGTCAAATAATACTTATTCTTAGGTAAATCATTTCCAAACAGTATAAAGTAAGAATCTTTACCTAAGCAATACTTGTCTAAGTGGTAGGTACTGCCATTGTAATATCCAAGCACAGCACAAGTGGCTGTGAGTTCAGCAGAAAGATAACCTTCCATACTTGAGTAATTTACACTGTGAGATCTTAATGTACACTTGCTAAACTAGTAATGATATTTACATACACAACTATCACGGTGAATAATAGTGCACACAGTTCAGCAACTTGCTATTAATTATAACAAAACTCAGTAAATGCTCAGAATAAACATTGTCTTAATTTGTGTTAATTGTAGTTATATATAATTTACATTATATACATATATAGAATCAGAAACTAACTTAAAAAAACGTCGTTCATTTGTTTTTATAGGTATAACAGCGAAAGTTGATAGGAAATGTTCACAATAAAAGCCAAGTTTTAACAAAATCACGGAATAATTCTAAATATTTACCGAACGTGCCAGCTTGACGATGACAATGTCGTAATAAATTTTACTGAGTTTTACGAATCATCGTCGATTTCACACTGAACATAGGAAGACACTGGCGGGACGCGGTATTCTAGGTTATGTCACGTACGAAGCAAAACACGCACACGTAAAATGAAACTTCGACTTTAAAGAAATACGTCAAGCGTGCAACACATACTAAATCACGTTAATTTGTTATCGATCACTTTCTCGTTTCTTACAATTGAGACGAAACAATTGCGCGCATCCACACTGTCATATGCAACAGGTAACAAGAAAACGCGGGAAACGAACTTGCTTGATGTTTTGTGATTGGTTCATCGCGTTCGGGCATTTCCGTATCTCAATCGATTCAGCCGAAATGGTCGCAACGACCTGTACGTTCGGAATATCAGCCAGAGCAGCGTCAGGTAAATTATTATTTAATTAATTAATACCTCTTTTTCGTCGCTTTACACACTTTAGCGTTCAAAACAATACAAACGTATACTATTTAGATTACTAGAAGAAGAGAAGGTATGAAAATACATATAAGCGCAAGTATAGTAATGCATACAGAGCAACGATACTATTAATAAAGGGTGAAAAATCGAGACGTCTGGTCACCTTAGCTGTATATGTCGGAGAAGATTACTCCGTAATAATGTACTTACGATATGTCCTGATGACCGCACGTCGTTATTTTCGGCACTCTAATACTTATTTCCGCAGGAGACTCACAGGACACAAGCGAAAGACGTATGGAATACGGATGATACGGAGAGTTGTATCTATGGCAGTTGCTCGGCATGAAAAGATCGCAGACGCGCGCGCTGTCAATCACGTACACCAAAAGTTCATTAGCGTATCGAAAGTGCCAAAAGTGCATGAATGAACACGCCAGTGATGTGAACGAGGTCGCGCGTCTACAACGACGCGATCTATACGGTAGATGCCTTAACCACTTGCTAGAGTAAGGGACTGAGCACAATACAAAAAGGAATAAGGAACAGAAAATAAGGAATAACGAATACTGAAATAATGCTATTCCTCTGTCCCTCTATTCTGCGTTGATGAATTAGGTTTCATGTTTTAATATTGAACTGTTTCCTATTCTGTTTCCTGTTCTCTATTCTCGATTTCCTATTCCTTATTCCTTTTATTGTGCTCAGCCCCTTCCTAACTACTCTAAATCAATCGCGTTCGTTTCACACTATGAGGTTGTCATCGTGGTTATTCAATCCAGGCGTTGGTAATGAATCGCGCGAAGTGCTCGATCTTTTCGCATCAAGCAGCAGCCATGGGCATACATCGATTCACATCACTCCGCGTTTCTCGCGTCTTTTATCCATCGAAAGTGCGTCTCGCGCGTTAATAAGCTCAGGAGTATCGAGAATAGCGATGTGCGATCTCCGGGGCGTATTGTGAAGACGTCATTTGTAAGTAATCTTCTCGTTTCTCCTCGCGGTATATGCGGCCGGTGCTTGTCGCGACGTGTCGCGCCGACATCCCTTACATTTGCTAATAACATCGACTCGCTCAAGTAACAATAGAATCGGCGATCGTCGGATTTATTGAACGGGAATTAGAAATGCGATGACAATCAAAAAGAAAGAGAGAGAGATGCGGAATATTTGGGTGGTTGCGTTAGCTTGTTAGGAAAAGAGACTCGGAGAGAGAAGTATCTCATAGAGCGCGTTCTTTTTGGCCGCGGCGCCGTTCATATATTGGCGTATATTTTCAGCGCGATTCAACAATCGCGCGACCATCTTGATTTTCGATCTTTCTGCATCGAGTAACCGCCGTAGACACATCGATCGACATCATTTCGCATTTTACGCGTCTTTAACCCGTCAAAAGTAAGTCTCGCGCGGAAATAAGTATCGGGAGTGCCGAGAATAGCGATGTACAATCGCCGGGGCGTATCGTGAAGACGTCATTTATAAGTAATCTTCTTGTTTCTCCTCGCGGTATATGTAAGGTGACCAGATTTCTTAGGCCTGAATTCGGGATACTTCATAAATGTGTGAAGCAGGGAGCGAGGGGAGAGGGGTAAAAGTATCCGAAAATTATTTGATAATCATTAAAAATGATGACAATCGGTGTTCCAAATAGCACTCGAAAAAATTCGGGACAAAGGGTGAAAAATCTGGACGTCTGGTCACCTTACTTGAAGTCGCAACCGATTAAAGATTGACAATAAAGGTGTATTCTTCTTACCTAACTATCACAACAGACTATATAGATTGTCATTCAGCATTTAATGCTGCTGGTTCACGAAATTCTGTGGAAATATAACGTATTATACAAAAATTACTGTATGAAAATCTATATTGTGAATTTTAATAGAAAAGAATTTGCTTCATGTACAAGCGCATATATTCTCTCTTGACAGCTGCTGAAATAATTATTATACTGTGTTTCCAGGATTTTTCTATCATTCTGCGTTCAGAACCTTTCGAAATGTGTCGACCCATCGCTGGACGACGCTCCATTATTTCCCTGTAATACGACGCTTTCGGCCAGCAATCTGCTGATGGACGCTGTCCGCAAAGGGGCAAAATAAAGCTATAAATTCAATTTCGTCGTGAAGGGAAACAGGAAAAAGAGACACAGGCAGACGGTCGAACGAGGGGAACGAGGAAAAGCAAGTGAGTGCGAGAGAATAAGATTGAATAATTCGGACATCAGAGAACAAGGGGAACGACGACAAGGTAAAGGGTTAGAAAGCAGGGAAGGGGGAAGATGCGAGGTGCCGACGCGTTTGACGGCTGTGGCTTGCGGACAAATCGATGTTTAATCAATACCATCGAAGGTATCTAGGTCATTGGGTTATCGGCCAGTCGTCCGCACCTGTCCGCTTATTTCGTCAATGCCGTTCATAGAACGAACGGCATTGATGACACGTTCTATACATTTTCCGCTGTGCATGACATGCACACGCGGCTTTTGCGCCCGGAAAATTGCCCGAACGCAATCGCTTGCTCTTTTCGAATTGATTCTCGCGCACGCGAATCGACACGCTGTATGATTCGATTTTTTCTTCAGTCCGACGTCAAAGAAATATTAAATTGCTTTCATCCTCCACGCCTTGCGATCGTTGACCCTTGCATGTCATAAAATAAGAGCATGTTGCAATGTCTTTGCGAGATATTTATTTCTCATTTTTCTATTCTAATTTATTTTGCAGCTTCATCGATATGAGAGCCACAGTTGTAAAAGTATCAATTAATCGTCTACTACCATTGTGACTCTGAAGTCACAATCCAATTTTATTATTATTTATTTCCAATATGAATGTTGTTCCTGTCTTGATCAAAAGTCACAATATAGCTGCTCTTTTTTTTAAATATGTTGGTAGCGATAGTAACTGTCCAACGTCACTTCAGAGTCACAATTTTATTTTGGGAAAGTAAAAAATTAGAAAAGTAAAATTTCACCTTATATGTGTTGAACATTTAGTTTTGAACATTCTATGTACACGAAAAATTGTTTAAACATGAGAATTAATTTGGGCAGTAGAAGATTAAGTTTTTTTCAGTTTAATAATTGATTTGAATAAAAATATGTCTCAATTCAATTAGTTGGCGATTAATTAGAGCAAAATTAATCAAAGAATGTTTAATTGACTGTTGATATAAATGAAGGAAATTAGAGATTATTCAACTAACAAATGAACTTAGCGAATTTAATTAAAGATTTATAGCATCGATTTGTTCGCAAGCCACAGCCGTCAAAAATATATCTCAATTCAATTAGTTGGTGATTAATTAGAGCAAAATTAATCAAAGAATGTTTAATTGACTGTTGATATAAATGAAGGAAATTAGAGATTATTCAACTAACAAATGAACTTAGCGAATTTAATTAAAGATTTATAGCATCGATTTGTCTGCAAGCCACAGCCGTCAAAAATATGTCTCAATTCAATTAGTTGGCGATTAATTAGAGCAAAATTAATCAAAGAATGTTTAATTGACTGTTGATATAAATGAAGAAAATTAGAGATTATTCAACTAACAAATGAACTTAGCGAATTTAATTAAAGATTATTGAATTGACAACTGAAATTTAATTAAAGTTTCATTGACCATTGATATAAGCAGATTACTCAAAGTTAGAATTGATTTCGTGAATAATATTGAAACCCCGAGCTTCGTGGCATCGTGGAAAGTACCGATGATTAAGAAATGCTAAGTAGAAGCTGTATTGATCACAAGTCATATAAATTGTCACCAAACAATCTTCGATTGAATCGATTAAATTTGTTCATATAAATCGTTAATTATAACGGCCCTAAATTAAATTATTAATTAAACGGTAATTCCCTTCGCTCATATCAATCGTCAATTGAACGGTCTTTGATTAAATTTGTTAAAATCAATTGTCAATTTAACGGTCCCCAATTGAAATAGTTCATATTAGTCGTTGATTAGACATGATAATTAATTGAAAAAATAATGAATTTCTTATAAATTCTTGATGAGAGCTAGTTATTGAATATGATATTTTTTGAAAGTTAATACAAAGTTGAAATATAAAAATTATATAAGAATTATGAAATGATATATGCGAAATGTCTAACAGGCATTATACGTTGTCTATATATGCAAAGAAATGACTTAATAATATCAGCTAAATTTCACTCACATTACAAATGTACAAATAAAAGTTTCCTTTCAGTTTTTAACCGAGATTAATGTTCTCTTTAATGTAAACATAAAATCGATATCTTTCATGATTACGCTATTTGAACATTATGTCAGAAGAACGACTTCACATCCAACAAAAACGCAATAATTTCTTCTTTCAAATTTCATTGATTCGCATTTAATTAAAAGTTAATCGTTTTACTGCCGTTAATTATTAAAAGTTGGCTATCACAAGTAAAATATGCTTTTTGTGAGATATTGAATTTATTATATATGATTAAAAATGTACATTTATTTGAGAGAGTAGCTCAGAAAAAGTTTCAGTTATTTCTAAATATTTTATACGCGTAAATCTCGAACATTTGATTCTGCAAGAAATTAATCTTGCAAAGCTCGCGCGCGTTGATCGATCATTTTTTTGTGCATTGATTAACCAACGAGTTTTTATAGATATTTAAAGTCACGGTATCGACATGAAATTTAAGCTCAAAATTCGCATCCGTATAATACTAGCACTTGTTTTCGCGGCGGCGTATTATTTTCCATGTTATATTCTAAAGTGAGGTGAACGACCGCGAGCGAGTGAGTAGAGCTTATCTGTGCCGCGTAGTGGGGAGGCGGA